TGCAATAAAATGATTACAAATTCTCGCTTGCAAATAACTTTGGTCTTTGCTTTATTTTTTATTTAAAAAATTCAATATAATAAAAAAGGGAATCAATATTAAAGTTACACTGAAATTTATATATGCTGTCTTGTTTAGTTGTTTCATGTACGCAAAGGCCGTCGGGTTTTAAAGCCATTATAAAATCAATATTTAAAACAAACTTAGCTGATTCTTTCGCCCTTTCTTTCTTGAAATTTACAAAATCTTGCAGAAATACGAGCAAAAATGAAATATATTTGCAAGAAATTTATCAATCATCAAATCAAGAAATGTTTGCTATTTCGCTGTCGTCATGCAGTCGTTATAATGCAAACTTTAAATTGGACCAATCAGTGTCCGTTATTCATGACAATCCGCCATATTTTTGAGATCAGGAGGATGACCACCCATCGTTGGTGACCGACGCCCGCGCTCATTGATGAACTTTAGACTTCGCTAATGCTTTCGTTTCCCCGGATGTAAATAGCCGGGGGGAATTAGTAATCACAGTGCAATTTTCTGTAATCACAGTGCAATTTTTTCTAATCACAGTGCAATTTTCTGTAATCACAGTGCAAAAATCTGTAACAAACTGATCTGATTGGTGGAAAAACATTGTGATGATTAAATCAACCAATCAGTTTAAAGCAATTTAGTTTAAAGAAGTAACGATCACAGATTGCTTCAAAACAAAACAAACATGGCGCCGCGCTACAGTGAAGTAAAAGTTGCTTTCGCGTGAAAAATATGGCTTTTATCTTTATTTTTAAATGGAAAAGCATTGACCTTAGACAAGACTAACAAAAATTACATAGTTGAGCGGAATTTTCAAGCTGTTAGCGTTGCATAATGTGATATAACAAAGCCAGGAAAAGTTTGCCGGTGAAATGTTCGCTATAAACGCGTAAGTTAAAACTACAATTGTCTCGAACATTTTTATGCAAATTATTAATATAAGTATATAGCATGGTTTCTCGTGAAATTTGGATAAACATGCACTCGTGAGTTTTTCGAAGACCTCAAATAGCACTCGTCCTTCGGACTCGTTCGAGGTCTTTGAAAAACTCACGAGTGCATGTTTATCCAAATTTCACGAGAAACCATGCTATTACCTATACATACATATAAATATCAACTGTTTCTCGCACACCCTAACGTTTTATGAAACCTCCAAAACCATACGCGGTATGAGGAGTATCGTTCGTAACATATTACCTATAATCAAATTTCTCATGAAAGTGAAACGCCATTTTTGTATAATCG